ATACTCAAGAAGAAGCCGAGAAAAAGGTGCTGTTCTTATCAAGAAAAAGTACCACAGTCATTTTACAATTTTAGATGATAGATTCAGACTTATACTGTATCGGTTTCTGCAGGCTATGGCTGAAAAAATAGAGCAAATGGAAGTTGAGGGAGAAGCTAAAGACAAGGTGAGCAGATCAATTTGAAAGGACTATAGTGATTTTTTGTTTCTCTTTCCTGTAATATAAATATGCAGTTGGTTCCTTCCCGGCTACCAAATATGCTGACTATTCTGATTGTCGAATGTAGCAAATTGTTGAGCTTCAAGAGCAGTATGACTCGGAACAGCTTGTCACTGCTGGATTAAGAGAGAAGCTTAGTAAGACTGAGGTATTACAATTTCTTTTGTTCTGGCTTGTTGCCGAGCACAGTTACCTTTTCACTGACATGCTAGGCCTACTTTCTTATACTCTTTGCTTTCTCTGATTTCAGAAAAAGCTCTGGGAAACGGAACAAGCACTGTTATATCTGGAAGAGAAACATAGACAGGCAGTTGCAACAATCAAGGATAAAGAGTACTTGATATCCAATCTCCTTAAATCTGGTAAGTTGGAAACAAGCTGAGTTTATTTCTCCTATACGTCAATTTTTCAATAGTTGTATCTTTCAGATGATATCCTAGGTTAACACCTTTTTCAAATTTCCTCAGAGAAAACACTTGTTGACCGTGCTGTCGAGCTTCAAGCAGAGTTGGCAAATGCAGCATCCGATGTTTCCAACTTGTTTGCCAAAATTGGTGTGTATTGCTCTCTCTGTCTCTCTCTCCCACTGTTACCATCACATTCTGAAAACTAACTCCGCAGCTATTTTTTCCAGAGAGGAAGGACAAAATTGAAGACAGTAATAGATCGCTCATCCAAGAGTTCCAGTCACAATTACTACAGCAACTTGAGCTCTTGAACAACAGTGTTGCAGGTTCAGTGAGCCAGCAGGAAAAACAATTGCAAGACATGGAAAAAGTTATGGCATTGTTCGTATCTGCAAAGACAGAGGTAATTTACACAAGTCTCTAGCTTACCTTCTTAATAACAGTCCTGCCTATCTTCGATTATGTTTACTCACACAATTAATCGTATTCTCTGCAGGCTACTGAAACACTACGAGGTAGTTTAGCACAGTTGAAGGAAAAATACAATTCAGGCATCAAGTCCTTAGATGATATAGCAGGGAACCTGGATAAAGACAGCCAATCGACTTTGAATGACTTGAATTCAGAAGTGACAAAGCATTCTTGTGCACTGGAAGATGTAAGAAGAGAATCATCATATAGCCTATTTATTATGGACAACTGATATTATTATGAGTGACTCTTGACCCTATGAACTGGTGTTTGAATCAGATGTTTAAAGGATTTACTTCAGAGGCGTATACGCTACTTGACGGGCTTCAAGGTAGCCTTCACAATCAAGAGGAGAAGCTCTCTGCATTCACACAGCAACAGCGAGACTTGCATTCCCGATCAATGGAGTCTGCTAAGTCTGTCTCCACTGTGATGTTAGACTTCTTCAAGACTCTAGACTCGCATTCTGCTAAGCTGACAAAGCTAGCAGAAGATGCTCAAAACGTCAACGAGCAGAAATTATCTGCATTCACTAAGAAATTTGAGGTAAGCTTTCCGCTACTCCTTGTCTAATTCTACAACACAAATGAAATTTATAACGATATCGTTTTGTATTTCAGGAATCCATTGCAAATGAAGAAAAACAAATGCTTGAAAAAGTGGCGGAGCTACTAGCGAGTTCAAACGCTAGGAAGAAGGAATTGGTTCAGATGGCTGTGAAAGATATTCGTGACGGATCATCTTCTCAAACCGATGCATTGCAGCAAGAAATGTCTGCAATGAAAGATTCAGCTTCTTCAGTTAATGTCAAATGGAACGCTCACATGGTACAAGCGGAATCTCATCATCTCGATAACATTTCCGCAGTTGAGGTTGCAAAGGAAGATATGCAGAAAATGCTTCTAAAATGGTAATCACTTCTATTTGATTAAGGCCAACCAAAATTCAATTACTTTGTTATGTAGTATTAAATCTTTTAGCCATCATTGTTTTTTCATAGCCTGGAGAATTCAAAAACTGGAACTCAACAATGGAAGACCGCTCAAGAATCCTTGGTCGATCTAGAGAAGAGGAATGTTGCATCCGCAGATTCTATCATCCGGTAATGCACCTTACTATGCTTCCTTGCATATGTTTTATATATACACTATCCAAACTTAAACTGATCTTCTTTATGTTTAATGACAAACCAGAGGAGCCATAGAAAACAATGAGAAACTCCGAACGCAGTTTTCTTCTGCGGTCTCAACCACATTAAGCGATATCGATTCTGCAAACAGCAACATTCTCTCATCCATTGACCGTAAGTAATCTAATTCAGCTTTGCTCGTATATATCAATTTATAATCCAACCAATCCTCTTTAATTTTGATCCTATCATTTCAAACCGCAGAATCTTTACAACTCGATAAAGTCGCATCCGCGGATGTTAACTCCACAATCGCTCCTTGTTCCAAAAACTTGAAAGAACTAAGAAGCCACCATGATGACAACGTTGTAGACATCAAACAAAAGACAGGAACATGTCTTGGTCAAGACTACAAAGTAACACGATCTGATCATTTTATTCAATCATTGTACATAAATATATATGATCGAATTCGAACAAAATCATTAAAATTTTATATATGTACAGGTGGATGAAGCAACAAGCTCAACGCCAAGGAAGAGAGAATACAACATTCCAACGGTTGATTCAATAGAAGAGCTTAAAACGCCGTCGTTTGATGAGTTGTTGAAAGCGTTTCACGATTGTAACAAGTCGTCGCCGAAACAAATGCAATCTAACGGAGATGCTAAACACGTCGGTAGTAACGGTCGACCTCCGTTAACGGCCATCAACTAAAACGATGCGTTTTGTTTGTTGTGTACGAGTGCCGTGGATATTTATAGTAACACGGTAACCCAAAGAGTGTATAGCGATTTAGATCTCTCTCCGTTTATTTTTTTTGTTATTTGAAACTCATCTGTTCTAGTTATGTTACATTTTTTCATGGATCAAAAATTCCCAAAATTTGATTTTACTACTGTTATAACTTTATAGGATCATATAGCAGATTATTTTGCCAAGAAAATAAGAAGTTGTACAGTTCAATTCTCCTTCACAAGTACATCGGTTCTGTCGTGGCTTTCCATAAAGAAGAATTTGTTTCCGATAAACTTGTAATCGGGTTACTCTGATAACAAAAAGAAAAAAAAAGGTAGAAGTAGTTAACGGTAGAAGTCTTAAACTAAAAAGCTGAACTATGTTCTTCCCTCGTATGTCACTTATCATATACCCATCTTTAGAATATAATAAAGAGAAAAAAAAAACAAATTGATCATAGTAACTTAAATATATTTTCATTGATAGAAGGGGTAGGCTTTGTTTTTGCTAAATTGAGAGTTTAATCAAATAATCCGATTATGCGTTTAAGAATTTATATTTAATGATTTAGGGAATGAGGTATATCATATATCTTTTTTTTTGGAATTGGTATCTTAAATTTTACGTTTGCAACAAGAAAAATGCGTAATATATATGAGCCGTAAACTCGAATAAATAGCAAGCAAGAAAACTCACTAGGATTTTTGTATCATATGTTGTTCTCACAAGATTTCTCTACTCCAATACAACTTTTATTTATTTCCAAGCTAAGTTCTTTTTTGTGTTTGTGTTATTTTCCTTTAACTCTCTCACAGTCTCACTTGAGTCTTTCTCAATGCCACTCACAGAACCTCATTTTTTAGAATATCCAACATAATCAATGGCCCTCCTCTTACAACATAAATTCTCTTTTTAAATTCTCTTTGGCTTCTCTTGTTCTAGGCATGCTTCCCTAGAAATATCTCTATGTTCTCTTTCAAGTAACTGCCCAAGGCCATTCACTAATCAAACCTCCAACGTTACGTTCCAAGCTCCCCTCAACTACGGCTAAAGACTAAAGAGATCACCAAAATAATTATCCTAAGGTCGTTCCCACATATAATATCACCACCAGCTTGTTCTACCAAAAAATGGGATTATGTGGCTCTCCTGAAAACGAACACACAATAACTTAACATATATACCTTGAAATATTTTACACATTCACACTATATGAATAGTCTAAAATACACATTTTTCCAAAACACGACTATCTTGTACGTGACTTCACTCTGAATCACTGGTTACTATCTATACTCAATTTCCTAATATTATAAAAGATGGCCTACATAACATATATGCCCCACTAATTCTAACTATTCTTTTATATTCTTCGGAATATTTCTCTCTTGCCAAATCCAAAGGACCTGATAAATCAACCTCTCAACTAACCACTTACACATCTAGCCGCGCTAGGACTTATCGTTTGTTATTCATCTAATGTATATTGCATTTTATCTATTTATTTTAGTCATCAAGTATATTTTTATCGTATCATGTATAATGCATATATTTTATAAGTTTGGTTTAGAAATAAACCCGCAATATTTTCTAAGCCCATATCTTTTATAATGCATAACTTTTTCGTTGTCAAACACTAATACTTGAGTCACATCATGTGGTTATGTATTTAACAACATATGATGTGAAGTTTGTAATTGCCTTGAGAGCAACAACACTTTGTAATCACTTTTGAATTATAATTATTAATATGAGAACATAAAAGAGAAAAAAGAGGAGAGAATCATGGTACACATCAAATTAAAAGGAAAGGTGACCACATCAAAATAAAGAGTGAAGTTACACATTAGACAAAGGAGATCTTTCTCACTGTCTAGTCCTAAAGACAATAGCCTACACATGCATGCATGCATGCAATTACAGAAACCAAGACACCCATTTTAACAACTCACAATAACTTCCCAACCCCATCAAAGATTAATTAGAAAGAAAAAAAAGAAACTACCCACTAGGGTTCTACGTACGTACTGCGGAGATAGAGACATATGAAAGGGGGAGAGAGATAGAGATCAGAGAGGTGTAGTTATTCAACGAACTGTATGTATCCAACGGCTATTACTTTACCCTTCAAGTACACGTGTTTTCTTCTTAGCCTTTTTGACACATCATCAACATAACAGTACTGATACATGAATGAAACACCTGCAGAATCTCTTTTGTATTTGTTGTCTTTTCTTTAAAGTTTGGTGCTGTCTTGTTGTTTTGAGTTGATGGATGAGATTGGGAAAAGTTCAAGGGTTTTCAATGGTATCTTTGCACTACTCATCATCATCATGTTGTTGCAACATGATGGAATGTGTTGTGATGATGATGATGATGATGAGGGATATGATGGTCTTGGGCCCATATCCATCATCATCATCCAATCTCGACCGTACGTTGTTGAGTTTGGACCCGTGATTGGTTTTTGCATCAACATCTCTTCACCTCCACTTTTGGTGCAATAATACTCATTCATCACTTTGCTCTGAGCTTCTCCTCCATTTCCCTATATTTCCATTTACAAACCGCATTTAACTATGATCATCATACAATCTTTAAAAACAAAAGAAGATGTAGTAAACATATTCACAAGTTCATATACTCTAAAACCAAAAAAAAAAAAGGAAAAAAAATTAGTATTATCACTTGATGGTTTCAATTTTTCCATGTAAATGTTTAAATAGCACAACTTTATATTTGTATAGTTTGACATCAGTTTCTCGGCTCAAAATAATCTTATTAAGAAAAATCAACTATATATTAATATGTAAATCAAGCATAGCCTAGGTTCATTTTTTTCTTCTGTAGATTCATATTGTTCTGTGGTTATATATTCATGTAACGCCGATGTTTATCATAACATTTGGCATCAAAATATAACTCTATAAGAATAAAGTTTAACAAAAAAACGAATGCATACATTTAGATATATTATACATATACCTGATGAGGAACACACATGGGAGAAGGGTGAGAACAGCAAGAGAAGGACATATGATCATATGAACGATGTTGATGGTGATGATGATGGTAAGGATTGTGATGATCATGAATGATATTATTATTATTAACCGGTTGAGACGACATCATCGGTGAGATTGGTTTTGGTTTGATTTGCTGAAGCTGTAGTTGAAGCTGATGTTGCTGTTGATGAAGTTGCTTAGCCAGTTTCTTCCTCAACTTCTGTCTATCTCTAGCCTTATGGTTCTGAAACCAGTAAAAGACGTTCTTACCCTCGATCCGACCATAAAAAGCCAAGTGAGCTGTGATCTGTTGTATCTGCACCGCGTTTGGAGTCCTTATACCACTCCGGTACATCTCCTCCAAGATCATAAGTTGCTCAGGCGTCGGACACCACCTTGTTGAAGCCACAGGACTCATATTATTATATTGATGTTTTTGTGTGTGTGTTTGAGTGTTTCTCTAACTATGCTAGCTCCACATAGACTTAGGGTTACATATATATATATATATAGAGAGAGATGTTTATATGGTTAGAGAGAAAATGGTAAAAGTTATAAAGAAAAAAATATTAAAGTGCATTGGAAAGGGACGCAAGAGAGGGAAGGGTTAGACAAAAAATAAACATAAAGAAAGAACATTGTACTATATTGTTTTTTTATAAAACCGGACCATTCCAATCCCATATGCTCCAAATTAATACGTACTGAAACTCTGTAAAATTTTTGAATAATAATGTATAAAGGAATATATTTTTTTGGAATAACTATAGTTTTCACCTTTCAAAGTTTATTTTGTCGGGTGATTTCACTTTTTCTTATATACAGTATATTATATTAATACGTGCAGAATAGATTTATATAGTCATAGATGGGGAGCCTCATTTCATAACATTTATTGTCGACCAAAAGAACAAAATTAAACTTACAATGTATAAGTATGAATAGTTTTTGATGTGGGAAGAAAAAACTATAAAACGTAACGTTTTTAACATTCATGAAAATCATAATTTCTTTATAAGTTGGTTTTGATATTGACAGAAAAGAAAGAATGTTATATACCATTCTCTCTTATTAAAAAGGACTAAAAGAATCTTCTAATCAGCTTTAGTTGAGAGTTGAAACTTGAAACATTATTAAAGTCACATAATGGTGAACTATATTATTTCGAGATCTTTTGCAAATAATGCAAACATCATTGGTTTCTAATAGAACGAAATGATAACTATACTTATAATTACTTTTGTAAAGAATGTACTCTAAGTTAATATTATTAAGGATTTTTTGTTTTTGTTTTTGTAGAATAGTTTTCAACACTCTTCAAGTAATTAATTAATTATATGCAAATTTAAAGAGGATAGAGAAAGAGGTACAAAAATCAAAGAGAAACAACAATGAAGGTGCATGGGTTCTCGAGGTGGATCATTCAATAGGTTTTTAAAAATATATACAATTCTCTCACACAATTAATTAAGACATTGACTCATCCATCTCTGTAACATAAAAAAAAACACAGTCTTATTTTTTTGTGTTCAGAAAGATAAAACATTACAAGACAAAGAAAAACGCCAGTACTCATTAACAAATGATAAAACTTACATTTTTCATATAGATATTATTAACACAAAAATATAATATGATCAATCATATCAAGACCTAGAATAGATAAAATATGTATGTGTATATCAGTAGTATATGTATACATCTCTGTGTGAATATGCATGTAACATTGTATGATGATGCTAGAGAGGATATGAAAAGGAGAATGAGGAGAAACTTAAATGATTATGTCATAATTACTTTATTATGATTTACTTCTCTCAACAGGATGATGTTGACACATCATATTAAAAGAAAAGAAAAAAAAAATACAAAATGGGTAAATTTTTCTCCAATCTTTACATGGACAGACAAGTTAGTAAATTTGGGTACAATACAACAATATGAAAATGAAAACATTATATACATACATACACGTTCTATGTATTTAATTATGTTCACATTTTAATCATAAGTACGTTTAAATCACTCTAAGATCGAGTTGACATGGATTGATTTAACAAGTTTTTGTAGAATCAAAACGTGATTTTCTTTTGGTTTAAAAATAATAATATCACATCAGAGAGCATAGAATTGTCTGATTTGGAATCTCCAGAAACTGAGCATTTTGACTTTTAACGTCTCTGCATGCAAAAACATTGCATGCATTAGCATTCGCACCTATTAGTTGTCTATAGGCTTCTCCTAAAGCCTTGTCTCTGCCCCTCTCTGTCAACATTCTTGATTCTGAGTATTCAATTTTGTTTTTGGGGCTAATTCAAAAGGATATTTATGTTCTCTTCTTGAAATTCTAAAATTTTTTAAATTCTATGCGAATAAAAATTGTCAATTAGAAACCTAAATAGTTAATTATACTTTGATTTGGTTGGCTTGTTGACGAAAGTTTCAGGTCGGTGATATATACACCATTAAAAACTTGGATGTTTCTATGATTCAGTTCATGTAACTAGAATCCAATATATTAGACGGCTATTGTAACGAAAATAAAATATTTAATTATGTATCTAAATTACAAATTAGTTTAGGTTTATTTGTTTCCGACTCCATAATGAAGTAATGTAAAAGAGATAACATACAACTTTAAATAAAAAAAAATATGCTATATTCTGAATGAACTTCATATATCATGAAGGTGTTTCTATAGAATATTAAAAGATATCCAAAATACTCACAAAGTTTGGAATTTTTTCCGTTATTTCATCAAATCAAATATATTGATATCAAAAAAGTGTTTACAAAATATAGAAACAATATGGAAGAGTGGAAGTAACCCTGCTACGTTTGATAGCCTTACATGCAAGAGATTAAATCTCTTAAGTTTCTCTATCACGTACTTTATATTGGTTATATGTTTGATGCTGAAACTCCAAAATGCCACTGGTATTACTTTAATTAGCATGCATATAATTTTAGTTAATTTGAAGTAAGTATATCAAATTTTTTCAAGCCCGAAATTTACTAAATTATTTTTTCATCCTTTAAAATGGTATACATTTTAGGTTTCTTAATAAAACCCGGTGAATAAAGTATTTGATGTCTACACATTCATCTTGAGAGGATTATGGTGAGTGTGTAGCCATCGAGTGTTAAAAGTTCAAACTACTCATGAGTCATGTTTAAAAAAAATCTACCGATCTAACTAATTATATGATCATCGAGTGTTAAAAGTTCAAACTACTCATGATTAAATAGATCAACCGATCTAACTAATTATATGATTAGGAATACGAAGTTAAAAATATTTACATTAATGTTAAGGTTAGATTATGATCATATATACATTCCATATTCGATATTTTTGTATTCTCTTTCAATTCTTTGTAAAAAGATATATAAAAATGAGAAATATACTAAGAGACAAGACTATAAATGCATGCATGCAGACAAATTGCAATTTGCCTCTGCAATTTTCCTTTTAACACTGTCTCTTTTTCAATTCTATTATATATTTCCCCTCACAAAAATTTTATTTAAGAACATTGTTGTATACATTCACATAAATGCGTAGTGTTCTGTCAACATTCTTATTAAATCCTAAACTGTTGGTAAAATACCAAACAGCTATTTTGCTGTTTCGCATTTCCTCTCTTTTGTCCCCATTTGTCTCTTTTTTCAAACTTAATAAAAATTCTATTGAGAGAAGAACACTTTATTGCACGATGATACTATTGTACGTATGCTTCCGTTTTTTTAATTTCACGTACACACGTACGCATATACATTGAATCAACTAATCCGTAAAACACTAATTTAAGATCTTTAAACCTACAACAACGACGTACCAATAGATGAAGTTACTACTACTGCAAAGTTGGACCATATAAATCTCAAAAAGAATGTCAAACTCATTTTTTCATTTCAAAGTTACTATACGTACTATTAAGAAAACATAACTATTTCGGACCATTTAAATAAAATTACATATATGTCCAATTGAAGATATGATTAACTTTCAAAATTATTATATTGTTAATTTGCGAAAGTTTCTTAAACTAATACTTGTCATAAATTAAAAAATTTACATAACTTTACTTTATATGTTCAGATTATATTAAAGGATTTTTCTTTTATTAACAATAAGTAATATATCATTTCATTCATATATTACAAAAGAAAAACTGAATTATGTTATGTTTTGCATGTATCATTTCATTCATACATCTCAAACTATATTGAATTATTAACAGTAATTGCTTATTTTCACCCTAATCGATCCTACGTTATTGTTTCTTAAAATGATTATGAGGGACATGACAATGTGTAAGACCAACATTATTGGTGAGATATTAACAAGTATCTTAAACTAAAATTTGTTAAAATATAATCTTATAAAATACTTGTTAAGATCCCACCAATATTATTGCCTTAAGTCAACTTAGTTGCCTAAAAATTTTGCGATTCCGATATCCAAAACTAAACTATATCTTCTGGATAAACCGAGACTATAACATCATTGTTAAAGCATTGTCAACGAAACCCATTAACTGTGAAGATCGTTAGGAACTTCTGAAACACCCCCACGTTCGTTGAAGTTAATGCATATAAATATTTTTTAACAGTGACAATTCAATATATATATATGGATTCTTTTTCATCTTAGAAGACGACTCACATCACTGGAGGTGTCACTCCAAACATCTGATTTAACATATATATAGATTAATTGAATTGTGTCATTACCTATGTTTTGGATAGAGTTTTACGGTCGAATTGTGTAATAGTATTTCATATTTTGATTTAATAGCTTTAGATGGTGTGTGTGTGTGGATATCCTAATTAGTAAACTATAGTTTATGAACTTTGAAAAATAGTTTATACCTCTCAAATGAAGATTGTATATAGCATAAATTTTCTGAATAATAAGCAAAAAAAAAAAGAAGTAATAAATAAAAACAAAAATAAAAGAGATGATTTGACGAGTGACTGATCAAAATATGGCAGACTGGTCCGTACCTTTCTTTTCTAAGTTCTGAATTTTTGCTGACTTTTCTGTTCTTTTCTTTCTTTTTCATTTTCTCTCCCAAACACACAAAATTATATTTATTTATAAAACAAATCTTTTGGAGTCAATGCACTTTTTTACTTATCATATCTCCTCCACACACCTTCCTCCTCTCACATACTTTGACATTTTTGACACATTCTATCATTTGTTATTATTTTCTTAAATAGTATTGTCGTTAAAGTACATAATTGATTTGATTATGTAACCATATTAAGTAATCTCAATAGTTATACTGTTAGTTTGTTACTATGTTCATCTCCAATTATATATGTAAATCTACGGGAAAACAGTAAAAATCAATCTGAATATTTTACAAAATGCGATTTAATTATATCTAAAAATAATAATACACTATTTTTGTTTTTAACCTACACGATGTAAAATATAAATTTTATACCTGAAATGTTAAACATTATTCACAATTCGGTGTTAATTAATCGTTAATTTTTTATGACTAAGCTACAAATGAATAGTTAAGTATAACTACATCTTCTAAGTTAGTGTTGGTTTTTCGCATAATGTTTAGTAATTCATATATAAATTTTGAATCTTATATCCAATGGTTTGTGGTTTAAAAATGCATTATATTGATTTTGGCTGTTAATGGTCGATGTGTTCAATGTTTAGTGCCTCGTGAGATAATATTTCAAACGTATTAATATTACAACATTATATTAAAGTAATAACGTTTTTGAGGCAGACATAACAAGTTTATATATATAACTGCATGATACGTCAATCGTTCAACAAACAAAAACCATTCTCTGAAACGATTTTTATATATAGTTTTTTTAAGTTCATGCAACCGTAATAATAACTCATAAACTTTTATTGTATATGAACAATCACATCGCGAATTAACTAATCATATAGTATATGATATAACTCATCCCATTATGATATCTATGTTTCTTAAAAAAAATTTGAAATATGACCAAAACAGTAGTGGTCAAAACTAAAATGTAGAGAATTTATTATGTTCAATAGGAAATATTAAGATTTTCACCTCTGTTTGTCTACTTGGTGAATTATTTTTTTAGGGTGAATTTTACAATTACTATTATCATTATCGTCGGTGTGGAAAAAATAAAATTAAGTTTCTCTCCATTAGTTACTGTTTATAAACAGAAAGAAAATGTAAATAATAAACCGTGAAATATGATAATTCTATGCCCAAAAATTAATCTCAAAACTATAATGGATCACACTTACCATCATTTAATTTTTCAGATTAAAAAAAAAACAAACAGTTGAAAGATATTTGTTTTTATTTGGCTTTTTTTAACAAATACAAATGTTTCTGACAGTCTTTGTAACAAAAGAAATCTCAGACTTATTGGGCTAAATAAATTACTAGAAAAGCCCATCAACTCAAGAAGAAACCCATCAAAAAGCCCATTACAAGAAATTGTTCATGTCATGGTGAGAGGCAGAGCATCAAAGGAGTGAAGAACTTGTTCCAACAACAATCTCGTACTTGAATCCAACGGGTTCTCAGGTTTGTCTGAATGAACAACGTTCAATAGATAAAGCTTCTTAGAACTCACGAAAGCAGCTGAGAAAACTCTCTTGATCCCTCCTCTCGTGCTATCAATCTTGTATTCAAACTCGTACACTTGTTGTTGTCCTTGTCCTGATCTCTCTCCAACTGATACAACTTCAGCTTCCTTTGTACTTTCCTAATTCAAACAAAAAAAACGCATAAAGCTTTACCAAACATACATTTTCACTAAATAAAGTTTTGATTTTTGGGTTTTTGAATTCGAAACCTTTCGTTTCTCAGCGTTGATGAGCTTATCAGCTACAAATTGAGGAGTACCAAAGTCTTCAAGACTCTTTATACGGACAGGACTCACTACAACTCCAATATTGTTGCTTCCATTGTTCTGTTCTTCAAACAGAGCATTGGCTCCTGCTTTGTCTACCTTAAAATTCCCCATTTTATTAAATCAGCATTTGGAGTGAATACACTTTTTTTTTGTAACACAGGTTCGAATTACCTTGGTATAAGAAGAGGGTATGAGAAGAGTGAAGCCATTGTTGGAATCAGTGAATCTTACAAGGTCTGTGGTGGATTTGGCCTTATCCAATAAGAACCCATTGAATAAAAGAGTGAGAACCGAGAGATTCAAGTGTCTTTTGCTGAGATTGATGCCAATGGTTGATGAAGGATTTGGGGTAAAGCAGAGGATCTTGTGATGAGAAAAGGAAGATGAAGACGATGATGAGAAGAGAGATAATTTGGGAGGAGAAGAGATGTGAGGAGAAGCTAAGAAGCTTGACGACCACATTTTGCTTCCTCCTCCTTATCACATGTTTTGCCGTTAAAGTCCCAATCTTTGGTTTATTTGGTCTATTCGGTTTTCTAATTTTACAAAAATAGATGGTACACATCGGTTTTGACCGGTTAGGTTTACCCGGATTAGACGAATGAGTAAAAGAAGACAAATATCATCCAGAAGAGAGAATTTTAAAAGGAATCATTAGCACAAAACTTTGTTGGAACTTACAATCAAATTGATCATTTAACCAAAATTTTCTGCTTAAACTTCTGATTTAACCAATGGAAAAAACAAAAATGTTATAGAGATAACATCTGAGATCAATCAGACATAGCAACAGATAAATTTTTCCAAGGATCAGGCACGTTCTGACCACAATCCTCCAGGAGACTCACCAATGGTTCAGCTTGATAAGACACAGCATCCTTTTCAGTTATAAAGCTTTGAAGTTCCCCGTGAACGCTCTCTCTAGCCATACTTGTCAGAATCTGAGTGTAAATTTCGATTGATGGGAAAAAATCTGGAAGTAGAACTGTTTCAAAGTCCTTCATAACTGTAGTATCCAACTGTTCGATATCAATCAAGTGCGCCAAAGGTTTCCGGCTGAAGCCAAATCAAAAAGAAAAGAGAACAAATTAGTATGGCAGAAGCTATGGTCTTTCATAATAAAACAGCAAAGTTGATAAGCTCTTACCTCTTTTTGACCTCTGAGATACCCTTGATCTTAAGTAGAGCCCTTATCTTTCTGAAACTTTCCTCCTTTGTAACAATGTGTATTATCTTCGATGAAGATGAATCCAGAAGCTCTGCAAACTGCGCCAGAAACGTTAATTTTTGGTTTTAGTAAACAGTTCACTGAAGAAGAGCCACCACTTTATGTAAGCCATCTATTAGTGAATGCTACTTCTATTAACTGTTGGTTTTAATTCTAAACTTTAACAACCTTTTACTTTCTTATAGTCTCACATTCACAAAACTTTAAACACATGGTGTTGTAGATTTTTTTTTTTTTTTTAAGTTATCATATGACGTACCTTCTCTAGCTTTTGTTCCTCCGAGGCGCAGACATTTACAGTCTGGATAATACAAGAACCTTGGCTGGCAACAGAATCACTGGCAGTAACTTTGTTAATTGATCTCCCCAAAAGACCCTGGATGGCTGGAATAATAGTAGAACTAAAACTGTCGTTGAAAACTATCGATTGGTGTTTGCTTGAAATGGCCTGCTTAATGGATTTAACAGCATCTAGATAACCACTACTGCAAAGGGAACCTAGTTCATCGATGACCTGTGTAAGTGTGAGAAATAAATTAGCTGTTGAATGCTCTAATATATAGGATGAAGAGGCTCCATAACATGATACATATAGTTAGAGAGAGGCCTATTGATACCCATAAACATAAAAAGATATTTAGTATTAAGTTATCTAAACTGAAACAATTCAACTTGAAGCCATAGTATTTGGAAATATTTGGACTGTAGTATAATGAAACAGGAGATAGATTTTAGCATACCAGCAACGAAACACCAGATATATCAACTCCCTGTGAGATGACAATCTCCAAAAGTCTCTCAGGTGTAGCAACTATAAACTCAGGCTCGACGCTTTTCAATCTACAACTCGAAAGACAGCGTGTCAGAATTGGAAGAGGAAAAAGGATAGTATCCTTCATGTAGCAACAACAGCATGGACAATGTGTAAAACAGACTAGACTGCAAAAAGAAAAAGACAGATAATGGACTAGTAAGATGTACCCGGAAATCTGATGATCTAGTGATGCTCCTTGGTGTAAGCTCACTGTGTGAATTCCAATACCTTTCAGTGCCTTGCAAACCGATCGAACCTAAGCATGATTAAAAAAATGGCTACATTATGTACCTTGTCGTCAGCTATACTAAAGAAAAGTAAACATTCACACGGCTAAACAATATGATTCTAACCTGAGATGCTTTGGACTGAGATGGCACAAGGTACAAAAGAAAAGGGCTGTTGCACTCCACCTCATCATTTTTCTCCTCATCTTTCTCCCGTTTAGCAATAGCATCGGCTGCAGTTGATACAATCCACGCAATCTGTTCAACGGTGGAAGACATTCCACTTGTCTCTAGAATATCTTTCCCAGATAAGAAACATTTCCAGAACTCAATTCCCCAAGTGCTAGTGAACAAAAACTTGTCATGCTGTTCACTGTATGTGCTATCTTTTCGAAACGAGCTCTCTATCTCATTCAAGTTAGACATCAGAAACTTCGATGGACCAATCGGCTTCTCAACACCAGCCTCTTTAATCGTCTTATCTCTACTCTTGACCTTGTTGTTCTTCTTCTTTTTGGTGATATCAGCTTTACCTTGCCTTTCATTATAGGGATCTTGAGGTGTAGGAAGACTAAAACACATTCCCTAAGATTCAATAGAAAACAAAATCATCAAAAACATTTCCAATTTCACATTTTCAGTTTCAGAGAACCCTAAGGGTATCAAACACCTCAATCAACAAGACACTCTTCTACCAAATTGAACTTATACAGTTTCGGAGAACCCTAAAAATCGAATCGAGAAGAGTGTAAAAGAGTGAGATACCTGACACATGCTGCGTTTGCCAGACTTGCGGCGTTTCTTGGCGGCGATAATGGCTGCGATGCGAGCAGATACGGTGGCGGAATCGTTCTTTCTACTCATCTTCTTCCTCGTCAACTTATTCTTCTTCCTCTGTACATTATCGTCGCCTTTCGCCATTGTTTCTGCTTCTTTGGAGGTTAAACTTCGCGGCGGCCGTTGCTTAACTTTGCCTTTGCTTCCGGATTCTGGGTTTAACCTTTATATACTAGTGGCATAATTGTAATTTAATAGAAGTTATAAGGTTAACGTTGTCATTTAGAATATCGACCCCCCCAGAACCGGCTTGAATGAGTTTGGTATAAACCGGGATTTTGATTGGTTGATGATTATGACAAACCGGAATCTTTTTGGTTTTTGCGTATTTCTAAAATCGACGTCTTGTGAAATCGAACAAAACTGTTGCTTACATAAACGAAGCATTTCTACAAATCAAGAAAAATTATCAAAAAATAATATTTTGTTTCGTTTAATCATCGGCTTGATCTGAGCAAATCTTGATCTCTTCTTGTTTCTCCTCCACACAAACATTAGATTCGGGTAATATTTTCTCTTCATCATCGGCTCTCGTCTCTGTCACATTGGTTTGCTTTCGTCTATGACCATGATCATATTTGGAAGAAGCTAAATGATCCAAAGCCATTACTACATCTGCAATCACCGGTCTCATACTAGGCTGTTCTTGAACACACATTGCAGCTATAGCAAGCGCTTGGTACAATCCTCTAATTGGATATTCTCCTTCCATCAATGGATCAACCATTTTCTTGAAATTCTTTCTATCTTTAAACAACGGACGTGCCTGTAAAATTACGTCAAAAGTGTGATGCCAACTAGAAATGAAGGAGGAAAGCAAAAGTTATAATAAAGGGAGAGACTTTATCTTTACCCATTCGACTAGACATTGGTCATTACGTGCTCTCGTGTTATCAACAGCTTTCCTTCCAGTGATAAGCTCCAAAAGAACAACTCCGAAGCTGTATACATCTGATTTGAATGTGAGTTGACCTGTTAATGCGTAATCAGGAGCACAGTATCCGTATGTTCCCATAACCCTTGTGGATACATGTGTTTCAGCCCCTCTTGGTCCTACTTTAGCTAACCCGAAATCTGAGAGTTTTGCGTGGTATCCTTCATCGAGCAAGATATTCGAACACTTAAGATCACGGTAGATCACAGGAGGCTTTATAGTATCGTGGAGATACTCTAGACCTCTCGCTGCACCAGCCGCAATTTTCATTCGAGTGTACCAAGAAAGCGGTTTTTTACAATGGGGAAGATCTAAAGCAAACAGAACATACAAAAAGCAAGTTAACATAATCAACAAAGCAAAGTGATGCAAATACCAGTTTAACGACCCTTTCCCTTGTTTCTAACAAGGCATTTCACTTTTTCGTTCTGTAATATGCATAGAGAGACAGATATATGAGTTGAGGTATAAACATACCATGGAGGTGATTTTCCAAAGATCCAAGTGGCATGTACTCATACACCAATAGTCTCTGAACACCCTCAGCACAAAATCCAATAAGCTTCACAAGATTCGGATGGTCAGCAAGACTTAACGTCATCACTTCAACCACAAATTCCCTAATTCCTTGAGAACCACTCCGATCAAGTTGCTTAATCGCAACAACCTATCCACATCCAATTCAAAAATTCTATTAAAAAAACCTCTGACCAGCTAGCCACATTTACACAATGATTGATTAAGATCAAAGACACATAAACAAAAACCTGATTGATCTTCTCAATGAAACCTTTGTAAACTTTTCCAAACCCTCCTTCACCTAGAAAAGAATCCGACTTAAAGTTTCCGGTAGAAACAGCGAGTTGTTCAAATGTAAAAGTCTGTGCTTTCTTCCCTGAAACTTCATCTTCAACCAAAGTATCCTTTGCATCCAAAGCTAATTGATCCTCTTTGATTACTACTTCCTTGTTTACATCTCCACATAGACTAACTTTCAAACAATCTACACAACAAAACAAAGATACAAAATTCACATCAAGATGAATCCATAAACACAAAACCTAATGATCTCATTGGAAATGTAGCAAAACACAAATGGCCTAAAACGAAGAAACCCAGATCGAAAACTACTGAAACAAATAACACCCACATCGAAAGATTCCAAATTGAGAAATAAAAATCGAAACTTTTTTTTTTGTTTTTTTCGAACCTGAGCTGGGTTGCGTTTGATTGTCTCGATTAACGTTCTTATCGACGATGTTTGAATCGATGGTGAGTTTTTTAGGGGAAACATCATTCTTCGTCGTGTTTTTGATCTCTGATCGTTTGTTCGATTTCGCGGTGCGTCCGAAACATCCCATCGCTAAAAATCTAGAATCTTTTCTCTCTCTCGTTGGAGAAAAAAAAAACCCTAGAATTTCAGAATTAAGACAGAGAATTAGGGAATAAGGAACAAAAAAAAAATCTGAATTGTTGGGGGAAAGAAGAGGAAGAGTTACAAAAAAGAAAGAGAGAGAGACGAGGGCGAAGTGAGAGAGATGCTTAATTTGAACTTTTTTAAAGGAAGGAGAAGAAGAAAGAAACGTAAGTTATTGTCTACGGGAAGGTGCACCATAAGGGTTATTAATAGTAACCAATGAGGTGCGTGCAGTTAAATTGTGTGTAATTTTGTAAATTGTAAGTAGTAAAAAATGTGGTAGCTGCTGGGTCAAACCTTTTTGTTTGCTCAAGCGCTTGCTTTTTAACCTTTTAACTTTTTGTGTTTTTTTTTCCAACTAATTTGTCTTTTTTTTTTTTTTTTTTTTGAATCAATTCAACTTATTTGTCTTAAAACTCCCATTTGTGAAAGAGCAAAATATTGTGAGAGAGAGGGAGAGGGAGAGGCATAGTTGTATTTTGATGGTTGTCCTTCATATATTAAAAAGAAACTAAAAATAATTATTTGTTTAACGCTTTTAAAAAACTTTTTACCGTATTTTTAAAAGTTGTGGCAATCAACGAATAATTTGGTAATATACCAATTTTAAAATGATTTTTTTTACTTCAAAATCTTAGACAATTCGATTTTGGAGTCAATAAACAAAGATTTATGATCATATATTCAAATTACTCTCTATTTCTAAGTACGAAATTTTAGTAATATTTCATGGATGGTCCACTAAATAGAAAGTAAGAGAATCAAATTCTTTGCAAAAAATCAATGTAAACTCTTTTATTGTTTTTGCTAGACCAATATTATTGTTTTTATATTGAAATGAATCAAAACTGATAAGGAATTGATGAATGATACTTGTAATTTAATAATTTCCAATTTAAAGGGAATATTTCTGCATTTTTATCATAGCAATTTTAGCCGCTGAACCAGCTATTGGAATAGCTATAGTCTTGTCAATTTATCGTTTTAAAATAAATACAAACTAAGTATCACTAAAAAATACAAACTATGTATCACAAAAAACTACAATTATGTACCATTTATGTTCAGTCTCGAGCTAATGAAATTGAATACTTTCCTCTCTCTGCCGTCGTTTATGGAATTTAAAAGTAAAGCATCGTAAAATTGGGAAGGGGTTTAAAACATCTCTACCTTGGTAATAACATTGATATTGGAAGTAGAGCAGCATAAACTTAGAAGGAATACTTTTTTAAACTAAAACAATAATTATGTCTCAATAATTTTAAAACAAAACTAAATCAAAATCTTCATGGATAAAAAGTTTACATCCCTTTAAAAGGCATATTGGAGAATAAAACAACATAAATTCGGGAAAAAATCAATACATTTACAGTATTAGTTTAATATATGGAGATATACCATAAAATCAACCATTTATTTTGGACTACCTTATAATGTGAAACTAGATCTTATAAAGCATAAATATTTACAATTTTAATTTTGTAAGTTAAAATTATATAATATTTTGAAACTTCTTAAAAATCAAAATTGTTTTAAATAAAGAATCTTTATAAACCGAATAAAACTTTTACATTCGAATGATTTGTGCTCGTTCGTATTCATAATTATTTGTGCTGTAAGATTAACTGATTTGTTAAGACTATTATCGTAGTGTTTGTTGAGGCTTTCGAGTATATCGCAACAGTGAGATACCAAATCCACGAGCCCTAACACACAGCTTGTTCACCATTAATCCGTAACCGATCCTATACCAGTTCTTTACCATTCCTTCCTTACAATGTAACATGTAATTTATTGTATGAATGTACAACAACTTTAATTGCTTAATCAAACATATTTGTAAAAGTGTTTTCACCTTTCTTGACGAGCAAGTCAACGTCTTGGTGGTCGGGATGGACGAGGAAATCCAAGAGGTATATGTAATTTTAAAATCTGACTTTAAGGTTCTTTTTTTATAAATTATTGAGAAAAGAGTACATATAAACAATGGAAAAGGTGCAAAAGAAAGCTAAAGGTGGCTTTGGCTTGGCCATCGTACTTTTGACCAAACTTATTCCAATAAGCTAACAAAATCAATTAACACACTTAGTTATACATTGCATTTAAACATACGAACATACACTTAAACCATACAAAACACATAATTAAACCCAAACCAAACCAGACCAAACCAAAACAAAAATATCTCCCAGACGACATAATCATTACTCCACTTTTAAAAACACGTAGAACCAACAGATTAGGGAGATATTTTTTTAGTTTACAACAACAATTAAAAGCAAATTAAACCACACACAATTACGTAATCCCAGTTTAACCCACCAAAAACCGAAGTTAAACCGGGTCGTACCACATAAAATAAAACAAACCACCATAAAAACCGAACCGGACTTGATAAAACCAAAAGCAGCGTTCTGTTTTCAAAAAACGAACAGAACAACTCAGCTTCCGTGCCATGGTGTCGGCACTTTTCTTAATTATGTCTTTATATATGTTTTTATTGCTTTTAAGTAGATTCGTTGTTCTGGTCGGAGGTGTATCCACTTCCCGGAGGAGTTGAAGCGGTGGAGGAAGAAGAACCACCACCACCACCACCACTTCCTAAGTTCATCCCAAACGCTCCACCTGCTTTGGCAGCAGCTGAAACGATGGAACCAGCCAAGAAACCAAAGATCTCTCTCTTCACCTTTCCACGACGAGGCGGTAGCTCAACAGACCTCGCGGTGGAGGATTTGGTTGCTGGAGATTCCATGACAAGATTCTCTGCAAGTTTAAAAAAAACATGAGCTTGTGTAAGAAGCAAATCTTGATCTCAAAACGTGAAGTGTGTAATAAGAATCAAATCAACATGTAAATAATGAGAATTAAGATAACAAAAGCAGAGAGGGTTTCTTTAAATGACAAGAAAAGAAAGGTACAGATCGAGAAGAGCTTAAAGTCTTGCTTCTTGTTTAAAGCAAAACACAATAAAAGAAAGAAATTAAAACTTTTTTGTAGCAGAGAAGAGAGAGGAAGAAGAAAAGTTAAGTAGAAGAAGGATAAGAAGAGAGGTGAAGAGACTAACTTATAAGGAAGAGTGAAGGACATCTACACAACTAATCAACATTGATTATTAATTAAACATGATTAGGAGGAATTGGTCTTTCTAATTAAAGAGATATATATATATATATATATATTTATTCAATGAATGTGGTAAGGTTCGGTGGTTTTTCATTATGTATTGGTCAATGGTTTTGAGTGTCTCATATTATTATATTTTCATAAATATTGTACTTTTTGGTCATGAATCAATTAGAAATGCATTACTTTAGCAAAACAAAAGAATCAAGAATGCATTTTAAAAAAATTTATGAATACGTGTTTTGTGTTTGTGTGTATGTGTGAATAATTTGGTTTCATGCTATAAGTCACAAACCAAGTTCAAGTAGAAGGTAAGTGATAATTGTTTTACATTAAATAAACTCAAAAAGGAATATGCTTACTTAATATCCAATAATGCCAAACATTAATCTAATGGAAACTAAATTGAGTCTTCATCTTTAAACAAATTGATATGTTAACTGAATTTGCAATGGTTAAGATTTAAGATGAGTCATAACTTCAATATGAAATTGTAGTAACAATATGAAGTGTTTTATTAACATATAATGTGACTTTTCTTTATTTTAGTGTAGCTTTTTGGTTCTTTTGTTTTTTAGTTTCTTTCACAATGTAGTTTAGATAGTTTCTAGATAAGATTAAAGAGAGCGGGAAAGTCTTGAGCAAGTTCGGTCGTTGACTTTGGTAGAAGTAAACATTTCTTTTTGTTTTCTCTTCCTATTGAGAAAAAGTTATCGTAAACTGATTTCAACACGTTTAAGTAATTAATTGCATTTTATCTAGTATCATGTGTGTGACTATGCATGGATTAGTTTTAAAAATAAAACTTTTGATAGTTAAATTTCACTTTACTCTTTTTTATGTAAGAACTTGTCCAATACTACCTTTCATTGTGTGTGTGTCTTATTTCATTTTTTTAAAGTTTACAACGTTTGTTTATATATATTCTTCTATATATTTGGTTTATAAAATTGGTTAACTTGGTTGTATTAGTATATGTAGGTTTAAAAACTAACCAATTCTTTTTAAAAAAAATTGTACTCGAAATGGTAAAAACCATACATACTTGTTTAAGGTTAATGTCCATAATCATTTTACATTTTCTTAGTTTTTCTAACATTCCATTTTTTTTTGTTTCTTTGGCCTAACAAATTCGAACTTTCAATAACGTTAATCAAACGAATATTCTAGGAAATTCAATGTACTACAAGTTGTAAGTATTACTCTCATAATAACGAATAAACCATTGAAAGTATTAGTGGACCAAAAACATTTGTCAAAGAGACTTCATCCACCGTCCTAATTGAATTGTTATGACCCCATTGATAAAAGCATCTTATTATGATGAGTCTTTCATGACTTACAATTTCCAAACATGAAACCTTATCTCCAACATTTAATCGACCGTCCTTTTTTTTTTATGTATAGCTTAATCAAGGAGTTACCTTTATCTCCAACATTATACGATTAGTGAAATTGGAGGAATCATTATACATAATTGCGAGTGTGAAGTAACTTTAGTGTAGTGACAAATGATAACATACATTATCGTACCAGAGATTGAGTCTCGTTTTTTACATATTTATAGAGATTAGGCTAATATACCGGCCAGTTGTGACCCTATGTTGATAAAAAAAATTATACATAATTGCGAGTTTTTTAATTAAGCGGGGATGAAGTATATTTTTCTTCTTCTTAGCTAAGACCACACGTATATTCATGTTTGTATACTTCATATATGGAGTATGAAACATAGAACTAAATCTTTGTAAAGAGACTTGAGACTAAAATTATAAGCTCACCAATCACTATAGCTTCTCCCAAGTCCCAACTCGTCACTACCTAGATCAATGGTCATGATCACCTTACATTGATTGTGTTATCTCTTTCATTGTCTTGTGATTTAGTTCTAAGCTTACGTTTGTTTACGCGTTATATTTTCTTATTGTTGGACTATAAAAAAACTCGATGAAGAGTATCTTATTTATTTATATGCTCGACAACAACATACGGATGTTTAGCAAAACCAATCCTACACGTTATTTGTGGTTCGTCCACTTTCTTTAATTTTTTATACGAAGGAAACTCTTAAAAGTTAAAATGCCCCAAGAACAAATATAAAGTACTCAAAAAAGCAAATTGAAACTAAATTGTTATAACAAAGATTACACTGCTTAGCTGGATCCAATGTTTTATGATAAAGACTTGCTAGGACCTGGGAGTATTTAGCATATTATAAGTATAAAAATTTTGCAATTTAATACCATCCACGACAAAAGAGTTCTATTAGAGGTTCTCTAAAATATTTTTAGTATTAATTTTGTAAAATTTAAAATTAAAAAATAGTTGTGATGTTTTAGCTTGTATCGATGTTTTATGTTATTAGTTTTTTCTTTTGTCAACAATGATACCGATATTCGTTAAAAAATCAAAATTATTGTGTGTTCACATCCCATCTTCGATCAAAACTTTTCCTACAACGCGTTCATGAATATGAAACATCACTTATTTTTTTGGTGAACATGAAATAGTGAATTATATCACTTATCGTAGCCAAGACATGTGCATGCATCATGGGAATATCATGTGATCTCCATTCTCCACAAAACAATATGTGAAAACATGACAAAAACACATATGGCTAGAACATTGAAGCTTGTAATTCTCATTCTGTTTATAAATTAGAGACCTTCACGACCTAGTACTTCATGTTATTCAATCAATTGCACCAACAAATCCATTTAAAAATATCAAATAATAAAAATATCATTTTGGGCACTAATGATTAGAAATATACTGTAACACCCTCATTTCGAGGCTAATGTTTGTCCAGATTTTCTAACCATGTCTTACTTTTCAGGCCCAAAATGATACAAAATAGATTGGGCCTTGTACTCATCTCATCTCTTTTAGGCCCAAATTGATTTAGTAAGCGAAATGAAGTACTTTTTTCAATTTGGCGGGAGAGAGAGAGAGGAGAGAAGAGTCTCTAATCTCCGTCGCCGGAGACGGAAACAAAATGGCGAACAAGCTCATCGGAGAAATGGGTCTTCACATCAGAATCTCTAATATCTTCGCCGCAAGAAACATCATCACCGCCAAGGTTTTTTCCCAACCCAATCTCTCCGTTTTTTTCTTCTTCTTCCCGAAATTTATACTTTTGGGTTACCTTTTTTACGATGATTCAGTCATTTGTATGAGATTTTGTTCCTAATTAGTGAAATTGAGTTTTTTCAAATGCGAACTTAGCTTAGAGAGATTACTAATTTCTTCTTAGGTTTTCAAATTTTTGTGTATAATGGGATGAGACAATCTTTAGGGTTAATAATGAATTTTTTGGTGGAGGAATCAGGATGCATTATCAAAGACGGAGTTTGAATTAATGGAGCTGTTAGATGTTGGAATGAAAGAGATAAAATCAGCAGTTAGGCTCATCAGTGAAGCTACTTCTCCACCGTGTCAATCAGTAAGCTCTTTTTATCATGTATATATGATGGGGAGATATGCTTTTGTCAGTCTTTAATCTAAACTTCTTGTTTCACTTGATGTGTTCGAAAAGGCTCGAGCTTTGCTGGAGCAAAAAGTCGAAAAGGAGCACTTATCTGGTCATCTTCCTACCCATTTGAAAGGGTTGGATGAAACTTTATGCGGTGGGATACCTTTTGGTGTTCTTACCGAGTTAGTTGGTCCTCCTGGTATTGGTAAATCACAGGTTAGTTTCTTCTGAGATTGAAGATTTTTGTTATGCTAGTGTTGAATTAGAACAGAATGGTTGTGTAGTTAAGTTGAAAGCGGTTATTTTGGTTTCTGTTAGATCCTTGAAATATCGGTGTGTAGCTACTGTACATTCTTTGTGTTTTGCATATGGTAAAAAGGTTTCCTTTACTCTGCAGTTTTGTATGAAACTTGCATTATCAGCCTCGTTTCCAGCAGCTTATGGAGGATTAGATGGTCGTGTAGTTTATATAGATGTGGAGGCCAAGTTTAGTTCAAGAAGGTAAACTGACTTTTATCTCTTCCCACATTGCTTATTTTTGTGCAAAACATCCTCAGAGAGTGTATCCCTCAGGGTGATAGAAATGGGTCTGGAAAGCTTCCCGGAAGTGTTTCACCTTAAAGGAATGGCACAAGAGGTTGTGGAACACCTTAATCTGGTTTATTCGGTGTCTTTATGCCTTTTGGTTAATTCTTTTCATATTCCAGATTGCTTACATTATAATTTGCAGTGCAGATGGCAGGACGAATCCTAGTTTTGCGGCCAACATCTTTAGCTAACTTTACTGAAAGGTCAGTAAGATTTTGCTCATCATTTTGTTAGTGCAGGCTTATAGGTAATATGAAAGTGTATGACTGAAACAACTGTAAGTTTTACTTGGTAATAAGGGCTTGCCCGCAAGTTTGGTTATTGACAGCTCTTCTAACCGACAGTATACAAGAACTCAAGGATTCAATTCTTCAAAACCAAGTAAAACTTCTAGTGATTGATAGTATGACAGCTCTTCTTTCAGGGTTAGTCCAATTTCTATTTCATTGCTGATCATGCTCATACCATTCTTGTTTCCTTGATGACCTTAGTAACAAGGTTTTTGATTTAAGTTTTTGTTCTTCTGATCAACTGATTGATTTTAGTGAAAACAAACAAGGAGCTCAGAGGCAGCATCAGTTGGGTTGGCATATTTCTTTCTTAAAGTATGAACTGCAGTCTCGTGTTACCTGAAAGCGTATTTTCACATCAGCACTTCATCTGTAGATTGATTGACTCTAATTCTGACATTTCCAGATCGCTTGCTGAATTTTCTCGGATTCCTATAGTGGTGACTAATCAAGTTAGATCCCAAAGCCGCGATGAAACTAGTCAGTTTTCTTTCCAAGGTACAGTAAACAGAAACTGAAATATCTTTTTGCTGTTTTGATCCTTGTTAATTCCCATTCACCACAATCATATATTTCCTCTACAACAGCTAAACTAAAAGATGGATTACAAGAACACACAAAGACATATGATTCTCACCTTGTTGCTGCATTGGGGATAAATTGGGCTCATGCTGTAACCATCCGGCTGGTTCTTGAAGCCAAATCAGGTAAGGCTTCATCATTCCATGGCATCAAAAGTAAATCATGTGTAAGGTCACAGTATCTACCGAGATGTATGTTCATGTGATTGGCTTCACGATTTGTGCAGGTCAGAGAATCATCAAGGTTGCAAAGTCTCCTATGTCGCCTCCTTTAGCCTTCCCGTTCCATATAACAGCAGCTGGGATTTCATTGTTGAGCGACAACGGAACTGAACTGAAAGGTCCAGGAATCAATACCATTCATGCTCGAGGTATAACTGAATACCGATAATGTTGCTTAAACAAGTCATAAGCCCTTTGAAGCATTTGACATTATTTTTAGGCAGAGTCAAATAGGACAATACAAAGGCTTATATATGATGACAATGCAGGGCACAGCGACATGATTGATTTTCATGGGGAGTGCTCGTAGCGAAGCAAAAGCATGTTAATACAAAAATTCAACAGAGGGCAACAGCTTCAGCTTCAACTTCTAAATGCTGCAAATAACTCCAACAGTTAGCCTCTTTAGTTCATTTCAAGTTTCTTAAGTAAAGACTAATAATTTAGACAGTGATCATATAGGCTTCAATGGTACTGATACATGCATTCTAACTTTTTTTTTTTTTTGCTTTTGGTAAGGTTGCCTTGTTTTAGTTTTGGTTGGACCTAACTAAACTGTTGCAATACATATGAGATGGTTTATATTATAAGTTCACTATGAAGAGAAAAATGTTTAATCTTTTGTCTTGTCAAGTCAAAAAAATTAGGTTTTCTTTATTAATGACATGAAAAGACCTCTGATAAAGACGACTTCAAGGTTTATCTTTTAATTATCTTTGAAAAGACTTTTATATATATATTCCAGTGGTCGACTCAGTTTTATTGGGAATCATCATCTTTTGAAAGAATGAATCATCAAATGTGTCATCTCGTCACTACAAGAATGGGAATAGCTGAAAGTAACCCTAAACTTTTTTTCTTTACATACAAATTTACAAACCATGTAAACAAACATTTACTAAAAATTTACAGGGTTTCAAGAAATTTATGTAAATTTTGAAAATACATTTTTAAGTTTACGATTTTTTTTAAAAAATATTAGAAAATGTTTCTATTACTCTTAACAGTTTGTGTGAAAATTCGTTAAATTAATAACTCAGTGTAAAAATTTGTTAAATTTATAATTTAGTGTGAAAATTTTAAAAAAATGATAACAGTTTCAGAAAACTTATGCAAGTTTCTAATGAAAAAAGTATAATTAGAATGGTGTAAATAATATCCAACGACATTTTTCTGGCATTTTCTAAATAAGTGTATCATAATAAAAAATATGTTTACATATATAAGTTGATGTGAAATTAAGCTAACCCTTAAATTACTATCAACAAGAAAACTATCGGTAATCTTGAAATGCTAGTAATCTCTAAAGTAAGAGACCTAATAATCTCCAAAGCATGTATAAATTATAATACGAATATTTAACTCTCTCCTTTAATTTTCATTAATAATAATGCTCTCAAAATCTCGTATTCGGATTGGTTCTTCAGATTATATTATTAATAAGCAAAAAGAGCTTTAAATGGTAAGTCTTATATGCACGTCAACTCCCAAAGCATATCAAAAACATTAAGGTAGCTTCATTTTGATAGGATTATTACTATATTTATTTTAACCAAATTGGTGTAATCAATAAAGAAGTTCAAATAAATTTATACTTACATATTGGAAAAACCTCATGTCAACATCATGTTTCTAGACAGTTGTCGGGTTCTTCTCTTCTTAATTCCAACACTAATTAACAAACAAAATAAAAAATCCACAAGTGATAAAGAAAAAAATCTTGTCCTAAAAGAGTATGATGATATTTTAATTAAATAGGATAACATAGTTAATACAAGGATTAGTATCATATTCCATGCCCCATGACTATTTTACTAATCTTTCCTTTTTTATCGTTATTTTAGTTTTAAGAAGAAGCCACTAGAAAATCTCATGGTATCCACTGCATTTGGATTTGATGGACTAATAAAGTAATAATCCTATTTAATTAGTCGCATCTTACATATATTATTTGTACATTTATTTATACAGATGTATATAATTGACTCTAGCTTAATTGTTTTTGGAAATACTGTATTGAGTTGTATATGTTTGTGATGGTAACATATTTGGTGTGAACCAAACACTATATGCCCTTTTCTTTAAAACTGAATACTACATGATCTAGACTCTCTCTTATCACTAGCCAAATATTCTTTTTTAATTGTACAGCCAAATTCATACATTAAATATACCGTGTTTTCATATTGTTTAATAAGAAATGTTTTTTATTTTTTATATAGTTGAATTTGTTAGTCTAATGGTTTGTAGTTTTGTACCATAACTGTTTATTTTGTATTGTAATCCATTATTTTTACAAATTAAATATTTCATTTCATCCTTTATTGGATATCTTGGAAGGGACAAATATTTATTCCATCCAAATATAGTAAATATAAAATATATATTAAAGCTAAACGAATTATTTCGCGCTTCAAACAATCAAACACTATATAAATATATATATATATTTGAATTTTTTTTTACCGTGGCGTTTAACAAAAATGGATAAATTCAAAATCAAGAGAATTTTTATTTTATAATTGAGTTATATATAAAAGAGATAGTTTATTTTACCCTGCTCGATTCAGGAATTTGTATGTGCGTGCCTTCATGCACACTTTGGGAATTGTTTTGAAGATAAGCAAACTTATATTATGATTACTTGAGTTCAAGAAATGATTCATAGAAATTATCACTAGCTAGTATTAATCATATGTATACATTTCAGACTTGAGTTTATTTTTGTCGTTTCTCATAGTGATTCAAGAAATAATTCAAAACGAATTATGTTAAGTTTGTTGTCATGTTCCTTATGATGATTATTAAGTCATGATTTTCGCTTGGCATGATATGTAAAATTAATGTAACAAGAGTTTACGAAACGAGATACTAATATAATTTGATTACATCTCTGAAACCCTACTTTGAAGAAGATTAATACTCAAATAAAGACGTGTCTACATAAGTCTTTGATAGATAGATAGTATTCTAATAAGTCTACATGAATTTGGACTACACTTGTTGTTATGCGATAAGGTTTTTTTTTTGTAAAAAATTAAATTTTATACTAATTTTCAAATTTGCGAACGGAAAAAACTACATAATCTACAACTAAAAGATTTACGAATACAAAAAAAAAACACGACAATGTAAACCATATCGAAACAATTTGCAGAAGCCCGTAGAAAAAAATTCTAATTCCGATACATATAACGTATCTGATACAACATATCTGATACAACATATATGATACAACATATCTGATACATATAACTTGGTTTATGGTTCATATTTGTAAGATTTACATTAAAAATGTTTTATTTTTTGTAATATATCTCTATACTCGAAAACGAGATACTAATACTTTGATTACATCTCTGAAACCCTACTTTGAAGAAGATTAATACTCAAATGAATTTGGACTATATTTGTTGTCATGTATCTATTATACAACATATCTGATACAGGGGCGGACCCACAGCCAAGGTGGTGGGGGCAGCTGCCACCAGCAAAAAAAAAAAAAAAAATTATTAAAAAATTATTAAATATTATTAGAAAACAAAATCTGTCACCACCAAAAAAAACTATTTTTCATCATTTTTTTTGGAAAGCACATTAATCCATGTACCAAAAAAATATATATTAATATATAAATTAAAGACTTACTAATCTAGACCTAATTTTTTGTTATTTTCTTCTTCTTTAGTCTTTTGGTTTCTTTGTGTGACAACAAATCAACAACTATCAATTTGTGAGTTTATTTTCCTGTTTTTTTACAATCGTTTCTATTATATAAGCATTATTTTTTAGTCAGTTAATTTTATTTAATCAGTTCAAGCTTATAACTATGTTTCCTGAAAAACATTATATAGGTTTTTATGTTATACATGACTATATTAGTTTTTGCAGTGATAATTGTTTATATGTTTATTATATGGTTAAGCTTTTATGGAAGTTTGTTACATAATTCAAAAAATTTAAATTAATAAATTTTAAAATATAAGTATATAAATTCAAAATTTTCTACATTTTTAATTAATAACATATTTTTTTTGTTTTTAATTATTTGAATCTGTCACAAATGAAAATATGCTAAAAAGGTTTCAATTGTTAAATGAGCGTCTGAGTGGTTTTGTAAGATGTTTTAAAGTTTTTACATGACAATTTTATGTTTTTCATAATTTAGTATTTGATAGTTTTTTTTACTGTATTTTTGCACTTATTGAACAAATTTTATAGATCCGCCCCTGATCTGATACATATACACAGTTTATATATGGTTCATATTTTTGTAAAAATAGTTGTTTTCTTCTAATATATCTATATACTCGTAAACAGTCGTAAGTTTTATCTAAATTATTCATATAATTTCCATTAATCTTTGATGAAGAAGACTGTCGGAATTAAACAAAAGGTTGTTTGTTTTTAAGAACAAGAAAAAAGCTGTTTTCGTTTTTAATTTTGGCCTGCAAATTACCAAAAAAGAAAAGAAAGAAAAAAAAAAAAAAGAAACGAACGGTGAGGAAAGGAACACGTAAACCAATAGGGAAATGAAAAACCTCGTACACTATTCTTGCCGACAAGAGATTCTCACCATTAATGGAAACACTGCTTTTGTACTTTGCTAAATTATTATAATCAAAATTTACTTTTTTTGTCCATAATCTTTTGTTGTATTCATCCTTGTTGGATTATTGTGTTGTGTTGTGTTGTGCACTCACTACATATTTTTTTTTATATTCCTCAAATCATATTATCATTTGCTCTCTTCTTATTTTTTTTTATAAATTGGTGTAATGGTCCCTAGTTTCTTCGTTAGTTAGAAGAGATGATTGTGTACTTTGTTTTCATATGTAGATGTTAACATTATTATTATGTTATTGTAATGTGTCCACTACTACATATATCATTTTCTTACATAATTAGTTTTTGTTTGTGCTTAGCTTGTCGTTACGTAAATCAACAATGATCCGTTTATTCGATTTTTTTTTTTTTTTAACATTTGTCGACATCAATATTATATTTCCTCTCATTTTTAGTATCTAGATCTTATGCGAAAAAAAGAAAAAAAAAGAATTACAGTAGTAATTTTCCTATACTATAGATGTTCAAAAAAAGAATTACAGTAGTAATTTTCCTATACTATAGATGTTCAAAAAAGAAAAAAAAAGAATTACAGTAGTAATTTTCCTATACTATAGATGTTACTATAAGATTATTCTATGTTTTAGTTCATAACTATAATTTCTTTAGTTTCATCCGGTTTATAAAATTTTTACCAATTCAAAAAAACCAATTAATTTCTTTGGTTACGTTATAAAATCTTATTTTTCTTAATTAAAGTAAATTTTCTCTAAATCGATTTAGGTTTTGAGGAATTTTAAATCTCTGTATCAAAGATAAGGTTTGGATTAGGGCTAAAAATTAGTTTCGGGACAAACTTTAAAATTTGGATTTTATCATACTCGCAATACAGTAAATACGATTTTACGATTTTAAAGCATAATTTACTGACATAGAAATTACGTTATTTATACAATTGCATATTTGATAACCACCAAATTATGAATCACTAAATCAGAAACACCTAATTAGATTGCTAAGATTAACCATTTTATTGCATTAGTCTAATTGACAA